GATTTTTTAATATTTCATAATATCAAGGACAATTTTTAAATATTTTTCAAAATCTGGTGTTAAAAAAGTGGAAAATACATCAAAATATTAACATGAATAGATGTCTGCAAATTCTTACTTTTCTGTGTTTTCTTTTTCTTTGTGGTCTCATTTTTATTTAATAAGCATGTACTATTTGCATAATAAGAAAATATAAAATTAAATAAATATGTGTTTGGTTCTAAAAGGGAAACTTCTGATAAGGTTGGATATATAATGGAAAAAAATATGATTCCCTTAAGAAAAGACAGGCTAAAAAAGCTGCTGAGAATCACAGCTTACATTTAATGGGAACATGTAAGCAATACAAATAAGTTTCAAACAGATATTTAATGGGGAGCAGAGAAGATTTTGTTGTTGCTGTTGTTTTTAGAAGTAGAACAGTATTTTCTTAAAAGATAGTGTTTCTTTTACCCACACCAGCAGAATTCTGTTTCCACCTCTCTTTTCTTTTTACTTATTCCAATTATGTGCAAAACACACATAAGGAAATAAACAGATTCTTGATTGCTTCGCTTGCAAATTCAAACCCATAAATTGATAACAAATGCCATATTACCAAATAGAACTGGAGTGTTTAATTATGTCTCTATAAGACTTCGAACAAACTGGAAAATGTACAGAGGCATAGTATTTGTATGCACCTGATTTTCATTCACCTGTAGCATTTTATGTATTATATCAATTTCATTTTAAGTTGTGGCATTTGCTAAAATAATTGGAGAGGATTTTTTACAATGAGACAGTATATGTAGAAAGCTACAGATGTTACAGTTACTTCAACAACTACCTGTTGCCTGATCTTGAAAGTGATCTCATTATTCAGAACAAAGCCACTTCCACTGATATTTTGTATAGATGCTGTATATGGTTGAACTTGCTTCTTACAGCCCTTCAAAATATGAAGTAACCATTTAGTTTGGAGTTGGTCTTCATCAGCCTCAGATAAGGACAGAAATAGGGCACTATTTGGGGAGAGGTTAGGCTCATTGGGGTACCATTTGGGAGCTTTTCTAAACTAAAGTTGGTGCTAATAATCTAGGCAAATCCAGCTGCCCACTTTTATGTCTTTATTTTCCTCCTTTGTGGTTTGCAACAGGTGTCACAAATTTTACAAAACAGCTGCATCTAAGGGCCATAAACTGCCCACTCTACTCCCTGCACAATCATCCATCCCACTGAGCTCATCATTAGTTTGTGAGAGCCACAGTCCCTTCTAATGCATCTTTTGCTTGTGAAGAATTGCTTTGCAGAATGGGCTGTTATAATGGGCACAACATATTCAATGAGATTGTCACCATCTGTTCTACCTTCCAATTACCAAAGCAAATGGAAATCAAAAGGCAATGGCATCAGACACCCCAGATAATATTTTCTGTTCATTATGTCTTTTGGCTGATACGGGTTTTAAAAATTCCCTTTGGAACACATTGTAGGAAGAAACACACTTTCTTTCTATCAGTGAGACCCAATTAGAATACTGGGATCCAGCACTGAAAGAAAATTACTCTCTGCAAGATGCACGTGAGCAAATTCAGCATCCTGACCTCTACTGTGTAGTGGAGATTTCTGCACAGCCTTGCAAAACTCACATAATGTTAGGCATGAAGTGATTAAGCAGAATCTCCCTGAGCTACTATTGTCTGGGGAAGGGTAAGTGGAGTAGTATTAGCAAGTATTGTAGCATTGATGTTTTCATGTTTCTGCCCAATAGGCAATAGGTTTGCAGCAAGAATTGAAACAAAAAGTGAACATTCAGTCTGAAGTGATGTGTGTGTGTGTGTGTGTGTGTGTGTGTGTGTGCACATGCATGTATGTATGAGAGGAGCATTGAAGGAGGCTGAGATCAGAGGTCATGGGATGCAAAATTAATTCTGATTTTAAAATAGAATTAAGATGCCAAAGACAGCATAGGTTTAAAATACTCAAGTTGAAAAAACAGTGCTCTAGCAGCACACAGCCATTCTATGGATTAACAGGAAATGACTAAGAACCACACTACTGTACTGGAGGTCTTATTGCAAAAATGAGGCATCGTAAAAGGGACTGGGTCCAGGGTATACATGTGAAGTGAGACATAAAACATATTTAAAATGGGTCAGATCTATATTCTTTGCTAAGTGTGTTAATAACTCACTTTTCCAGGTGATGAGGAACTGGAGATTGGAATAGGAATACATAGAGTATGGTTTAAAGCTGGTTGTCTAGGACTCTATCCTATAAAAAATGATTCTAAGGATGTGATTAAACATGATTCTAAGTACAGTATCTTAGAATCATTCAGTAAATGTTTTGGTGTTTTTTCCAAAGTCTCATGCTAAGAAAACACCATAGTTATCCATGTAATCTATATACTTGACTATTATATTCAAGACTCTACGACTTAGAATGGACAAAATCAGAAAATTTTAGGCTCATGTTTAATGTTAATTTGTTCTGTTGATCACTTTCCTGTCATCATGCACATAAATAGATTATGCATTTCCAACCTGCTAACCCTGTCCATAAAGAATTGGCATTAGCTGAGTTGTCAATACCTTTACTTGAATTAGCCAGATGTGTGTTCTATTTAGCTGCCCAATAACAGCATAACAATAGGACTGTTTTCAGCTTGGGTATGCTTGCTAGCTTTAATCTGTTTGGGACATTAAAATAGATCCATTTGTTTTGCCACATTTTTGTTATATCCTCATACAGGAATGTAGTGGATGCATATTTTTGGTATGTTTATGGTTAACATGTCAAGGCCTAAATATAGGCTCTTAGTCATTACCAGATGACCCTATCAGTAGCTTATGCATAACTGAAATTGTTTCCTTCAGCATAACCAATAGAATAGAGCCATGGTGCCTAGTATTAAAAATACAAAATTCTAGCCATCCCATCCCCTTTTATTGCTAATAGTAATAATTTATTTTATATTTTCTGTTGATGAAGGTTATTAGCAGGCATGAAGTTGGGATCTGCATTTATTTATGTATCTATTTAGTTACTCACTATTTAAAAATAGCTTAATTGAGATATGATAAACAGCACATATTTGAAGTATACAATTTTTTAAACTTTGATACATGTAAACTCCTGTGAAGCTATTACCACAATCAGGATGGAAAATATAACCATCACTCCCAAAAGTTTTCTTGTTCTTCTTAGTAGTCTCTCTCCCTTGTTTCCTCTTGCCCTCTCACCAAACAATGATTGATAAGCTTTGTGTTACTATAAATTAATTTGTATTTTCTAGAGTATTAGATAAATGGAATCATATAGTGTGTACTTCTTATCTGATTTCTTTTATTCAGCATATTTATATTGATCTCCATCCACGCTGTTGCATGTCTGAATAGCTTGGTCCTTCTTGCTGCTGAGTAGTACATTGTATGGATGTACCATAATATGTTCATCCATTCACCTATTGATGGACATTTGGGTTGTTTCTACATTGAGCTATTATAACTCATTTTTGGTAGGAGCATTCATGTACAAGTAGGATGTACATTTTAATTTTACATATTTTATATTTCACAGCAGGAACTCAGACTAAATCAGCACTTTTCTGGCATCAAAAATAGACATATAAAGCATTCCTAGAATTAATGAAACCCTGTAATAGGTGACAAGTAGTTAGAAAACTGGCTCACTTATTTGCTAACTCCTCCATAATGATTTTTTAAATGAAAAGAGATACACTGCTGTTTAACCAATAAAACTAAAACTCATTGGAAGAGCCACCAAATCCAGTCTCTGATTCAATCCTGTAAAATAATCTACACAGTGATACAGCTCAAATAGACTTTTTCTGTAAGTGACCCCTCTCCTTCAATTTGGGGATGCATGTTTTTCCATATTTTAGTCTTTTAAAGAAGTGAATGCATCTTTTAGTTGATATATAAATTCAATGTATAGTTCCTATTTTTCTCTCTTAAATGTCCATGAACTGAAGAATGGAGAAACAAAAGTGAGATATCCATAAAGTGGATTATTATTCACCAATGAAAAGGAATGAGATACTGATACATGCTACAGCATAGATGAATCTTGAAAACATTAGACCAAGTGAAAAAAACTAGTCATAAATGACCATAATTTATGATTCAATTTCTATAAAATATCCAGAATAGGCATATTAATAGAAACATTAAGTAGATTACTGGTTTCCAGAGTCTGAGGAGAGGGAGAAATGGGGAATGACTATGTAATGAGTTGAAGGTTTCCTTTGGGGGCAATGAAGAAGTTCTGGAACCAGAAAATGGAGATAGTTGCATGATTTCGTAAATGTACTTAATGCCATTGAACTGTATACTTTGATAGATTTTGTTATGTGTATTTTATCAAAATAAAAAAGAGGTAGAAATGATTTTAAAAGGCATATTAGTGTTATGGCATATAAGTGATGTGAATTTAAAAACAAGGAAATTGTGTGACTTAACATTGAATGAGTGGTAGGCTGGTATCTCTGTATCCCTAAAACAAGTTAATGTGTGTATGTGCACACATGCATTGTGTAATCTACCTAACTCCTGAGCACATTATATTAATATTTAAACTCATGTCTTTCAAAGACTAAGGAAAAGTGGGCTCTATTGCAGTTGTTCCAAGATTTTAATTTCAAACAACAACAACAACACAGACACAAATCTTAGAGTAATAGAGTCATTTTGGTGCAGTGAAAGGAGAGTTTATTGGAGCCAGTCTAACTAGTTTAAAACTCAAAGGATAACCAATTTCTTGCTCTGTGTAACATTTAGGCTAATATTACTTATTCCATAGGATCGAAGGAGTCTATATTTTTAAAGTACTCACCATAATAACTTGGGCATAGGCATAGTGGCTGCTTAACAAGTATAATATTTTGCCTCCTTACCAAGCCACCCACCCTCCTGAAATACATAACGTTTACTTACACATGGCAATGCAAAATACAAATATCTCTCTTACATTGAGGAAACCAACACATGACTCACAGTGGTGATGTCCTGCTGGATTCTGGAGTGGCTATTTATCAGGTATATTGCTCATTCACCATTTGCGGCCATCTGCAATAATTAAGTCTTGTAGTGAGGAAACTCTGAAGACCTATTACAAATAAATGAAGAAGGAATAGTACTTTGATTAAAATGTCTATGGTAAAATAGAGACTCCTAAGAAATCTAATTAAAATCTAAACCACAACGAAAACTTGGCAAGTGAATAGGATCTAGATGTCCCACCTTACAACAAATATTAAATTTCAATGAAGAGTTAACTATTATGTAACTTAAGTAATAAAGAGTACAAGTGCAGAGTCATTTGGAGACTGTCACTCTCCTCTGTCTTGAGTAGAGTACTCAAACCAATATAATTCCATTTATTAGCTGTGGTTTAGAACCCCAGGTGAGTGAGGAACTTTATGTTTTCATTAGAAGATTTGTAATAGAAAATCCATTAGTGCCCAGTCTCCCCGTACAGCGAACACACAGGGCATATGTTTCAGATTTCATGTAAGCAAACTTCATTTACTCTGTTTTTGTCTATAGGTTGCACTTTTCTCAAAGGAAAATTAAGGACACAGTTAGCATAAATTAGAGTAAGATGGTGGCCATAACAAAATTAGTCTCCCATAGGACTTCTACTTTAAAACAAAGCCTAAACTCAGGAATGCTAATATGTGTGCAAAGGCTACACTAATGCATGGCTTACAAGAAGGGCTCAGCTTTTGGCTTCCTACTCTTGAGTTCATGCTGTGAAATATCAGGCTCTTAGGTCTGGGATGATAGTCACAATATGCTCTTTCTGCAGGAGCATTAACCTGGCTTTCAATTTCTGATCCTTTGCTGAGAAGTCAAAGATACTTCATTCCTTTTCATTTATGTGTAAAGAAAAGTAATATCCTCATGCACAAGACACTGGGCTTTAAAGAATAAGCCCCAGATGCCCAAAGAAAACATACCATTCTGAGCCTGTTACACTGGGTAATGGCTATCTTAGGTGTGACCAGTTAGAAAGCATTTAGTGACCACTGAAAAAATCACTTTACATGAATTATCTTATTTAATCCTCTTAGCAACTCCACATTATGGATGGTATCATCTCCCTATACGAATGAAAGAAATGAAGTACCAAGACTTGGCCCTGGCCTCACATTAGTAAAGTTCTAAATCTATAACTTAAGTTCAGGTTTGTTTAATTCCAAACTACTATAACAGGCAGCCAGATACCCTTGCATTATCAAATTTTAGCTAAACTTAATAATTACTTTGGGCATTTATTACTTGCTATATGGAAATTTGAATTAAAAATAAGTATAAATGTTTAAAAATACATCTTGATGACAGTACTTTTTTTTCAGGATTGGTATATATATTCTTTTTTTTCACCCAGCTTTACTGAGGTATAATTGACAAATATTGTATTATTTATATATTCACGATGTACAATGTAGTGATTTTATATAAGTATACATTGTGAAATGTTTACCACAATCAAGTTAACACATCCATCACCTCATATAGTTACCATTGTGTGTGTGTGTGTGTGTGTGTGTGTGTGTGTGTGTGTGTGTGTGTGGTGAAGACACTTAAGATCTGTTACCTTAGCAAATTTCAAGTATGCAATACAGTATTGTTAACTATAGTTACCATGCTGTACATTAGATTTCCAGAACTTATGCATTTATAACTGAATATTCATACCTTTGACCAATATCTCCCATTTCCCTTACCCCCTGTTAATATTTTATGTATGGTGTAAAATGGGGTCTGCTATAGTTTGGATATTTGCCCCTCCAAATCTCATGTTGAAATCTGATCTCCAATGTTGGAGGTCAGCCTAATAGGAGGTGTTTGGGTCATAGGAAGGGATCCTTTATGAATAGACTAATGTCCATCCTGTGGGTGGGATGCAAATTCAGTTCCTGCCAGACTTGTCCTGAGAGCTGGTTGTTAAAGAGTCTGGAACCTCCTTTCTCTCTCTCAATTGCCATGTGATCTCTGCACAAGTGATTCCCCTTCATCTTCCAACAAGAGTGCATACAAGCCGTAGGCCCTCACCAGAAGAGCAGATAGTGGCAAGCTGCATCTTGTACAACCTGCAGACCTATTAGCTAAATAAGCCTCTTTTCTTTATGAATTACCCAGCCTCAGAAATTCTTTTTTAGCCACAAAAAAAGGAGTTAGAAAGGGTCCAATTTCATTATTCTTCATGTCCATATTCAGTTTTTCCAATAGTATTTACTGAAGAGGCTAATCTTTTCCCATTGTGTGTTCTTGGTATTCTTATCAACTATTACTTGATTGTATATACATGCATTTATTTCTAGGCTCTCTTTATATTCTATTGCTCTGTGTGTCTGTTTTTATGCTAATGTCATGCTGTTTTGATTACTATGCTTTGTAGTAAAGTTTGAAATCAGGAAATGTGATCCCTCTAGCTTTGTTTTTCTTTCTCAGGATTTCTTTGGCTATTCAGAGTCCTTTGTGGATATATATGGATTTTAGGAAGTTTATTTTCTTTTTCTGTAAAAAATATCACTGGGATTTTGATACAGATTGCATTAAATCTGTAGGTAGCTTTGGGTAGTATGGACATTTTAACATATTAATTCTTCTAATCCATGAACACAAGATATCTTTGCATTTATTTGTGTCTACTTCAGTATCTGTCATTAGTATCTTATAGTTTGTCAAATACAGATCTTATATATTTGATGAAAAATGTTCCATACAACACCAGTCACAAGGTAATCCATTCACATATGATATTTTTATCATTATTGTGATGGTAGAGTTTGTGATGATAAAATGTGGTAAGGGTACTGAAAAAATAGAACCTGAAATCTTACCCCCCTTTTTATTGAAAGTAAAATAATTGCTTGGAAATTTGGGAAATCAATAAAACATTATGGCTTGTACATCTTTGAGAAAATCTTAGATGGGTATGCTATCAGATTTCTGTTTTATAAAAAACAGTTATGTGGCTCCAAAATCACCTAAGATTCTTCTCTTTATATATTTTTTGAAGCTGCTCATGGATGCTGAAGAAACAAGGGACTCAGTAAAGGAGGATAGGCCCTTAAAGCTAAATCCTGAGAGAAAGTAGAAGTATCTCAGCTACCAACGAACTCAAAGAAAGGTAAATAAGAAGATAAGCTTAATACCACAGAAAATACCTGAGATAGCTTTGAAGTGTTCTTGTGTTGCTTGATGAGGCTCTGACCTAAGAACTTTTCACTTTTCTTCTGGAGTTCTGAATTCTACCTTTTCAAATTTCAGTATTATATTTTGAAAATCATATTTGATTATGTGTTCTCAATCTCGCTAGTTCTATAGTCTTTTTAGATATTAAATCCTTTACATATAACCTCATTTTAAAATTATTTATTTCCTTATATTTTCAAAATGTAATATTCTAAAAAATGAACAATAATTTCAACCTTGGCATGAAGTTAGTCCACCAAGCACTACCACTGATGCCAATAAACTAGTTCTCTTATCTTTTCAGATAAAGTATCTAGTTGGGTTAATGTTCTTATTTCCTCATTACTAAAATTAACTTATTAGTACCTCATAAAGATAGCACAGATGTATAGAAAAGAGATAATACTTTTCAATTTTACTTTTATAATGTCATTTTCTCCTTCCTTCCACACACAGGCACACATACACTTAATTAGGATCTTTAGAGAATATTTATGAAGCAACAACCATGCCATGATCATTGAGAAAATAAACAAAAAAGAAATCATTCTTGCAAAAAGTAGTAATCATGGAATAAAAAGGAAACAATCTTTTTAAAAAGGAACACTATCTATTGTAACCTTAATTGAAAGATTCAGCAAAGCTGAAATCTGTTTTATTACATGACCTTGGATGATGCATTTGACCTCTTTGTGACTCTGGCTGCAGAAAGGTAATAAAAACCTTGGCTCCTTTATTGAAGATATGTTACAGATTTAATGAATTAAAATCTATAATATATTTGAAGTAATCAAAAGGCTCCAGATGAATAGAAAACTGTTACTACTATTTTCTTATTATATCTACACAACAATTTGCTGGAGAAAACTTAGTGATACTCGTTTAAAATTTTAGCAAGATATGTAGGTGAGTACGTAGATAAATAGGTTTTTCTGTGAAGGAAAATATGCCTGAAAATAAAGAATATTTAATCCTATAACAAGAAGATTATTAAAATGCTTTGTGGAAAGATATCTTTCTGTCTGTGATAATGGATTAAAAATAAATTACTCTCATACCAAAGACCTGATCAGTTTCCACTTATCTTTTGTAGCCTTGTTTCTCCTTTTAGCTGAACCACATTTTCCTAACTGCACACTTATTCTCAGTTGAGTTAGTCTCTGGCAGCTTCAGCAGTATATTCTGTGTACAAATTATTATGCTTGAGTTAGACCATTCTTGACAAGTATGCCACTGTGCCACTTGGACTTCTTGGTTTTTCTTGCCTGAAACTCATAAAGAGTGTCTTAATTCAGATGACTATGTTCTGATTTGCCTTAGCCTCTTCTTTGAGATGCTCTTCCAGGGATCTTATTTGAATCCCATATTTCATACTGAACACTATGTGGCTCCAAAAAAATTTGAAAAATCAACTGAGTTTCTTCTATCATTTTTGAAGTTCCCCCATGAAGCTGAGAGAGCCAAGGAAACTTAGAAAAAAAGATGGGTCCTTTAAATATTCTGTACCCAGAAATGTGGGAAAATATAAGCAAGGTCTTGATGCTTAAAGAGTCTAAAGACCTGCCTTGCTCTTCTTCAGCCACCATTTAGGGGCTTCAGCTATACCACTAACCATAACCCTATAGCTGAGACCTTATTAGAACAACCTGTCTTCATGATCGTTCAAATAACTCTTATACCTCATTGCTTAGTACTGTTCTCTGCCAGTCTTGTGAGCCCTCACATCATCTCTTATTCCCTTTATTTGACTGTTAAGTACGTTAAGATTGTTACAGCCCTTGGACACTATCATTTGCCAATGATCCTTTCTAGTTAGTGTCAACATCTTATTGAATATTGCCAGTAGCTGGCCTGTCCTACTGATGGGACTGAGTGGAGGCCCCTCTCAGGGGCCTGCTGAGA